GCTCCTTCACAGGAGCAAACTTTTAATACCGGCTTCATCTTCTGGCTGTGGCTTCCTCTGGGTTAAAATAATTTTCTGATTAGTCCTGAAGTAGTTTTTTTTTTTAAATCCTCGAAGGACGTTGATCTCTGAGGGTTTCAGGATCAGTCTGTTCAACTTGGGATGATTTTCTTTTGTCTCTTTTACTTATTTTACTAAACTTTAGATCAGCTTCTGTGATGCTTTTGTTTAAATATTGACTTTTTGTCCATTTATGAAACAAAACAAATCAGATTATGAATAAAACTGTAACTATATCTATCCACAGCAACGAAACACAGACATATAAGAAATCAATGGATAACTTCCACCCGCAGCCTTGTTGATTATTTGATAGTTTACGTAAGATTCAGCTGGTCACTCTTTGCCACAACATTCGAGCGGTAAATGAGTTTTTCAGTCCTTAGAAGGAGATGATCTTCATCTTCTTCATTTTTTCTTTCTGATTTGTACATTTACTCTGGAATGAAATTTGAATGTTTTCTACCCTTTATCTATAATTTTTATTATCTTTCTTGGGCTTTTTTGTCGCTCCGTGATCTTGTCCTCCTCTCCCTGAGGGGTTTCCATCTGCCATCAAGACCTGGACTTGGTTCAATGCTGTGTAGGAGCTCCAAAGTGCAATCAGTGTCTTTGCTGTAAATCAGAAACACTCCTGGTCCTCGTCTGATTGGATCCCAATCATCTTGAAGCACAAACGAAAGAGAATAAACACATTTTATGAATAAAAATGTTCAGAGTCACGATATGTGGAAGAGAACAGGATGGCTTTTATGTGGATGTTTTCTGATCTTACTGACTAATGTACATGTTTCACCAGCACTGCAACATGTGGAGGTAACGCTGGGGATATTTTGGTAAAACCACCCAAAATCGTACCCCTAATGACATCATGATTTCTCTAAATTGCTGCAAGACGTTTTCCTGACTTTCTTTGGAGAAGTATTTCATGTTGGAGCAGCTCTGAGAACTGAGTGCATAAAATATAAGATTTCTTTATGCCTCAGGATAATTTGAGCACTTGTTATCGGCTGCTGTAGTTCGCTAAGGTGAAGCTAATCGATACATTTTCACAGCCGGAGTTCACAACTACAGGCATCTCATTGTGGTTTCTAAGGAAAGGTAAAGGTAAAAAAAACTCAAGAAGAATGGAGAGAAAACCCTGATTATCAGACAGTCTGTGGAAACTGGGAACTATGAGGATGTGGACACATTTCAACAGAAGCAAAACAGTAAAAGAAAATCTGGACATATGTGAAATGTTAGTTTGTGCTATCGAGTAGAAAAAATGCAAAAAGGAAAATTTTCTGTTAAAAAAAACCTCTGTGATAAATTACTGACAGACAGTCTGATTACAGCTAACACAACATAGAGTACAAAATCAGTTTCTTAGCAGCAGGTTAGAGCTGAGCATAAAAAAACATGTTAATTTCACTGAATTTAGCTTTATGGCTGCTGCCATGTTATCAGTGTTGTTTTTGGTCAATAATAATTATCTGTTTAGTAATTATCTGTATTTAGCAATCAATAGCAACAAAATGCTACCATTGAGGCTTCTGAATGTGGAGTCCAGAAACCCGTGCATGACATCACAGCTGCTGTGGCTGCTGACGTTTTGGGTGATTGAGGATTCGAGCTGCTGGGCCCACTGACTCATTTTATGAAGCTTCAAAATGTTTTCAGACTCTTATTGTGAAGCCATGCTGCTGGAATAGATGCAGCATGTGGTTTAGCACTGTCTTGCTGATATATGCCATACCTTCCCTGAAAACATGTCTTCTCAATGGGACGTGTCTTTCAGCACTGATGGTCTTTTTCCAGATGTGCAACCTACCAACTCCACAGGCACTGATGCAACCCATTACTATCAGAGAGGCAGGGTCCAGAGGACGTGTTGTCCACGTTCAGAGCATTTCAGACTTTGTAGACACAGCTTTCTTTTTGTAGCTTGATGAACCTCTTCCCATTTAAGCCCACACCGAGTAGCAGACCTTCAGACTGGTCTCCTCAGCACCGTGACAGATAAAAACTATCAAAGACTCTTCTCTCTGATTTAAACTCATCATCAGTGTCCTGGTCGCTGTGCAAAGCTTCTTCTACTGTGTTTCCTGCTGCTAAATCTGTTCAGGGTGATGTTTGTCCTGAGTTTGTCCAACACCTCCATCCCTCAGTGTCTGTCACAGAGGATCCCTGTTGGGTCGTTTAGCCCTCTTGTATCTTTGGCGTTCCCGGCTCCGTTTGTGGACCGACGGGAACAGCTGCCGCTGGCTCTGATCAAAGCAGACTGGGGCCCGAGCACCGTCAGTCCCTGTGTTCAGCAGGGCCATTCTGTTTGGGATTATCACACCTGTGGTTCAGGGATTAATCCCAGCAGAGACATGGGAACCAGGAACAAGAGGCTCCCGAGAATGGCTGCACTACCTGAGTGCATGCTGGGAGTTTGGCCCCATAAATTGACTTTTTCATTTAATGATCAGTTGATTGTTCTAAATTAGTTTGGATCTAACTGATAAAGAACATTTTCAGGGAAACTGCAGAAACATGCAAGTCTGAAACTGAATAAAGTGTTTGTCATAGCCTGTATTTAAAAGATGTAGCCTGTGTGACATCACCAAATGGTTTGTGAGGTTGTGCGTTTGAAGGCTGAGCGTTTTGGCTCTCAGCTTTTTGAAACCAGAGGTCTGCAGCGTCTTTGGGTCTGAAAAGTGAAACCAATGCTTTAGACTTGCAGTGTTTCCAATGACCAGCAGGGGGCGTTTCTGTCTGATTCTATGGGAGTCTGAAAAAAATGTACCTCCTTCTCACCCAGCTTAAAACCTCAGTTATTTCCTGCTCACTCATTAATTTTAAGTCTTAATGAATACCATACAATTTTTATTTTATAAATTCTGATCATATTAGAGGGGAAAGGAGGAGAAACCAGAGCAAACTAGTGCATGCTAGTTGGCTAACAGCAACTGAAGTTTCAAAATAAATGCCAGGGGATTGTTTGCTACTGAAGTATTCATGTTGTTGTTCCAGACAGATAAAAAAAACAAAATAAAACTGAAAGAATGCCAAAGAAACTCTACATATATGTAACAAATGTCCATAAAAAGTAAACACAAGCCAGCTTGAATTAATTCAGTGATGCACAGATGCGTTTCAATTTTAAAGAATGACACAGAAAACACTCAGACCTACTTTGAAACAATCATTTGTGTCTAAAAGGAACTGCATTGAACATATTTCAGGTCTTTCGGTGTCGTGATTCTTCAGCATGTCGCCCTCCACTCACTGTGGAGACGAAATAATGATCTAAATGAATGGAAATGTCATTGACTGAACACATGAGGTCTTTACTAGTTTGGTATTTGCTAAAGTCTGACCTCCGACCTTTGAGCGTGATTCCAGCGGCGTCATGTGTCCACACACGATCAGGCCGAGCGGAAAATCCTCTCCTTGTTTGCTTAGCTTGTTCGACTGTTTCCCGCTCTGTTCCCTATGAGCCCGTCTGTCCAACAGCTTTAAGTCCTGGCTGGCTTCACCCTCCACCCCCCACCCAGAAGGTCAGGCGTCTGAACCCATCACACACACACACACGTATGTAAAAACACACCAAATACCACTAATGCCACTTGTGCAGCAGCACCTTTTCTCTCACATTGTTTGACAAACATGGACTTAACCCTGTAGGACCCTTAGAGACACACACTTCATTAAAGCAGCCACAAAGGCGGCATCTTAAAAACACTCTTCATTTTTCCCAATTTACCTCGCAGCTGCAGACGAAGGACAAATTAAAGGAAAAACTTGAACTTTTAACCCTACAGTGAGGAGATTCGGTGTCTCTTGCAGGGTTTGGGTCCCACATTTGTGTCCTAAGTGGTGTCACCTTCAGTAGATCAACCAAAATGAGCTGAAAATATGATTGATTAATTTGATTTTCCTGTCGTGTCATGACTAAATCAATACGCCCAGCTCAAACAGGCTCATAAATACCAATAAAAAAAAAAAGTTGATCCGAGGAGAACTATAACCTACAATTACTGAAGAAATAATCCAATAAACCAGTTTTTTTAACTCACAAGTGACCGAGCTACTTTATTTTAATGGCTGTTTGGGTTTCTCACACCTGTACCTTGTCCTTTATTTGTGATGGTTACTCTAAAATATTCTAATGCAAAATTAATCACAGTTTTCAATCATGTAAAATAAGCTAAAACCCCCACAAATTGTGCTTTCTGTAATCCAGTACGCTTGTATTATTTTAACATCAAAACACCGATGAACCAGTAACTCCATAATACTTTGATCAACAACAAATTACTTCCATGCTTCAGTTTCAAACTAAATGTGAACAAACATCTGGTTTACAGATGTGGAAGTCTTCAAGATTTTTGTGCAAAAAGATGAAAAAAATATTTAGATTCATGAAATATCTGAAAATTGTGCTAAAAGAGAAGTTTATTTATGTAATAATAACTACAGAGAAATTACAATAAGATCAGAAGACTGCAATATTAAAGAGAGAGAGACGCATATTTCACACAGCTCTGCATTATCCGCACCATTAGCCTCAATCAGTTTAATCAGGTCCTGTAAAATCTATGAAAAGATGCAGAAGGTTGGTTGATAAATTCATGGTGGGTTATTAATCATGTTCGTGAATAATAACATCCACAAACAGCAAAAAACATGGACATATCTTCAAGATCAGTAAACTGAAGCCAGTGTGGACGTGACTTAAATCTGCTTTCTCTCCACCAGATGGCGATAAGCTTTGGTCATCTTGACCTCTGTAATCTCTTTCCTTCTGATTTCATGGACTCAGTCGCTTATTTTGGTTCACACTGAAAAAAAAATAGAGTGTTTTGTATTTTGGTCACACAACAGATGACTGAGGGCTGCTTTCTGTACAGCCTGCAGGGTGGAGTCAAAAGGGGGGGGGG